TGGCTCACCACCAGGAACCAAGCAGTGGTGAGAGACAGGGATGGCAACATCAGAATTATGGGAGTTGTCGGAACCGATTTGGCTCAGTGGATAGTGCACTGGTAAACAGGAAAGGGTAAAGGGAAGGCACTCTCCATGGGCCAGAGAGCCTTCAGGACTTTCAGTCTCTTCTGGAAAGGAGGAGTCTGACTGAGGGACTGGCCAGAACCCCACTGGGCTGGGAGGACCTGAGGCCGCATACTGAATGTGTAGACCAGAGTTTGCTGGCAGATCCCAAGCCCAGTTGTGTAAGGTTAGCCACCTGTGACAGCAAACAACTCTCTCCCGTGCCAGAGTGCATTTCAGGGAAATTGGACAGACTGTTTGTGGCTACAAAGAAGAATCGGTCTCCATGCACAGCCCTGACAGTGACCTACAGGAAACTATAATAGACTTAGATGCCTTCGTCTACTTTGGGCATGACTCCAGAGAGACAATGACAATTTGCTTTGTGTGGAAGGTCAAAATGGACTTTAGTCACCTCCCTGAAATGTTTGTATAGCCCAACCATGTGTCATGTTGAGTAGCAGAAAATTTGGCTGCCTAAAATGGCCACAGTGCCAACATTGTACTTCATTATGACAATATGTATGTTAACGTTTGATTCTTCTTACACATCTGAATACAGCTGCCACCAATTACTATAGACCTGTGCTAGTCTACAGGCCTTAGTAGTCTTTGGGAGTAACTGGCAAATGTCCAGTTTCCCACACTAGATGCCATATTGTTATGGCCGTATGTTAGCTGTCCTAGAAGAGGGTTATATAGGATTGAATCCCAAAAGAAGGGTACCTAGCTTCCAAAAGAGAAGTTGCCTAAATGGGCAAGGAAAATAAGAAGACCTTTAAGACCTTTAAGCAGGTCAGTATATTTTTCTTCTTATACAATTCCCCCCAAATTTGGCAATATTTAATAAATAAATCATGGCAATACATTTCTTTGCATAAATTCAATAAGACTGATTTCCAGCAGTGGTTTTACTGACTGGAAACTTTGACTGGAGTATCATGTTTTAAAGAGCCCTGTCTGAGGAGAAACCAAGATGGCTGCATAGGTAAACGCCTAACTGCAGCCTTGCACAACAATTTCAAAAATACAACTAAAATACAAAATGGACATTATCCAGAACTACAGGAAAGTTGACTGGAAATTCTACAACTAGAAGGAAAGAGAAAACCAGAAGGAATATCAGAGGAGCTGTAAAAGCCTGAGGTATAGAGACATGATACACGTGTGCGGAGAGGATGGAGCTGGAGGTAATGGGGGGGAGGGGGGGTTTTGAGTGCCTGGCTGGCGTTCCCTAGTGGGAAGGAGATAAAAGCTCAGTACTGTGCTGAACCCCAGTTCTGGGCAAGACCCTGGGGACCCAGGCTCATACAGAGGGAATCTAGGCTGTAAGGCAGAAACTCAGGGGAGTGGCAAAAGGCAGAGCCCTGGAGGTGTGCATGTGAATGCACGTAGAGGATGGACTGTTGACTGTGCCAATAGATTGCCCTAGTAGGAAGGAGACAAAAGCTCTGGACTGAGCTGAACCCCACTTCCAACTGCACTGAACCTCAGTTCCAGGCTCACTGGGGGAGAGACTAGACTGTCTGGTAGCGGGTGAAACTTGAGGGCACCTTTCTCTCAGAGGTGCTTGCAGTGAGTACCGAAGGACACTGAGGAACACTAAGACTCAGAAACCTCATAGGTCAGGGGTGACGGGAAGCCAAGGCTATAGGCTCCACCCTGAAACTCCACCCCATCCAAGCTGAGCACAGAGGCTTTTGCAATTTTCCAAGTCTAGTCAGATAAGGCTGTCTCCTGGCATAGACACAGCTGATCCTCACAGCCAATTGGCCTGGAGGTCAGTTCCTCCCAGTGATACCAACAACAATCAAGACTTAACTACAACAAGGCTGTACACAAAGTCCACAGGGGTGCACCAAGAGTGTCCACCTCAGGTAACTGGGAGGCTGACCCACTGAACCATATAAGACACAAAGCCACCCTACCAACTCAGGGAAGCATGCCAAGATAAGGAAACAGATCACAAATGAAAGAAATGGAGGACAACAAGCGACTGGATATAGAGTTCAAAACTATGGTTATAAGGTTTTTCAAGAAATTCCTATAAAAGGCTGATAGATTTAGCAAGACCCTTGAGCATATGAGAGAGACCCTCGAGGATATGGTAAAGGACCAACTAGAAATTAAACATACACTGACTGAAATAAAAAATATTATACAGACACCCAATAGCAATCTAGAGGAACGCAAGAATCAAGTCAAAGATTTGGAACACAAAGAGCCAGAAGACACTCTTCTGCAGAAGAAAGAAGAAAAGAGAATCCAGAAAGTTGAAGATAGTGTAAGAAACCTCTAGGACAACTTCAAGCGAACCAACATCAGAATTATGGGGGTTGCTGGAACCAGTTTGGCGCAGTGGATAGAGCTCCAGCCTGTGAACTCAAGGGTCCCAGGTTCGATTCCAGTCAAGGGCATTTACCTTGGTTGTTGGCACATCCCCAGTGGGGGGTGTGCAGGAGGCAGCTGGTCGATGTTTCTCTCTCATCGATGTTTCTAGCTCTCTATCCTTCTCCCTGCTTCTCTGTAAAAAGTCAATAAAATCTATTAAAAGAAAAAAAAGAAAAAGAAAAAAGAATTATGGGGGTCCCAGAAGAAGAGAGAGAAAAAGATACCAAAAACCTATTGGAAGAAATAGTGACAGAAAACTTCCCCCACCTGGTGAAAGAAATACTTAAGTCTATTTCTTACACAGAACCCCAAACAAAAGGAATCCAAAGAGGACCACACCAAGACACATCATAATTAGAATCCCAAGAGCAAAAGACAAAGAGAGAATATTAAAAGCAGCAAAAGAAAAGCAGGCAATTACCTGTAAAGGAGAACCATACCATTGTCAGCTGATTTCTCAACAGAAACCATGCAATCCAGACAGGAATGGCAAGAAATATTCAAGGTGATGAATAACAAGAACCTGCAGCCAAAAATACTCTACCCAGCAAAGCTATCACTCAGAATCAAAGGCCAGATAAAGAGCTTCACAAATCAAAAAAAGCTAAAGGAGTTCATCACCCCCAAACCAGAATTATATGAATTGCTGAAGGGGGTTCTTTAGGAAGAGGAAGAAAATAAAGATAAAAATTATGAACAGATACGTAACTATCAACAAGTGAATCTAAAAACCAAGGGAATTAAAAAATCTGATGAACAATATTAACTGTTGAATATAATAGATTCAGAGGTATGGAAGGGGAGTGAACTGACGATTCTCAGGGAAAAGAGAAGTCGGGGTGCGGGAAGAGACTGAACATAAACTGTGCACCTATGGATGAGGACAATGGGGGGTGGGGAAAGGGCAGAGGGTGGGGTGGGAACATGGTGGAGGGGATCAATGGAGGGGAGGGGGGAAGAGGAACATTTGTAATAATATGAATAATACCTATTTATTTTTAAACAAAGATTTATTTAAAAATAAATAAATAAATAAATAAATAAATAAATAAATAGCCAAGTGTGATCTCTGAAGACTTGAAGCCAATAAAATGCCATGGAGAAAGCCTGGTATCCTCTTGGTAGCCTTGAAAATAGATGGCGCTGGAGCATCAGGCCTATCCCTTACCATCACTGGAGGTTGGTCAGAGTAGAAGTGGGACAACGAGGGCACCTCTGTGTCCCTGCAGGACCCGCACGCACTCTGAGCTGTGAGGAGTAGGAGGGCTGAGGCCTAGGGCACGGGGCTAGGTGGAGCCACTCACAGGTGAGGAATTCACCTAACTCAGCAGGTGCTACAGGCAGTCCTGATGGCAGCTAGATGGCTTGGCTTCCTGGCCCTATGGAAGATTTCATCATGAAATTCTGGCAAAGGTGGTCAGTTGCTATTCTTATTATGTTTATGCAAACAATCAGGCCAAATTGAATACAATAGATAAATTAGTCTTGAATTAGTTCTTTTAATAAACAGAAGAATAATTTTGAGAAAAATTCTATTTCAATAAAAGGTAATAGTACTAAAATATTTTCTTTCCCTTCCCCAGACCATTTGTTATAACTCTTGCTATTCTAATTGCTCAATAATACTAAATTTTATAATATAGTTTGTATCCGCCAGGTCACAGGCCCACCTCCTTCTGTCCTCAGGCCTCATCGTCCCTCTGACAGAAGAAAGGATCTCTTGGCTCTGAAAGAAAACTCCATCCTCTTCAGCATGGAATTAACCAAGGAGTCCCATTGACATCCATTTTCCAGTAAGACAGACATGAGCAGAGCAAGGACGATCCCAACCGGTGCTACCAGGTGTAACCAAGTGTTTCCACCCCTAAGTATGTGAGACAAGGGGCTCAGACCGAACCATCTGGTCTCATGCACTCACCCGCAGGATGTTGGCACAGAAGGCCAAATAAATTACCCTTATTCAGGCTCTCCAGTGGGCAAAGGGCAAATCAGTAACCATTTATACTGATAGCAGGTACGAGTTTGCAACAGCTCAAGTACACAGTGCTATTCATAAGGAACGGAGACTTTTAACTTCCGCTGACATCAAAAACAAGGAAAGCTGAAACCGGTTTGGCTCAGTGGATAGAGCATTGTCCTGTGGACTGAAGGGTCCCAGGTTCAATTCCGGTCAAGGGCATGTACATTGGTTGTGGGTACATCTCTGGGGGGCGGGCGGTGCAGGAGGCAGATGGTCGATGTTTCTCTCTCATCAATATTTCTAGCTCTCTATCCCTCTCCCTTCCTCTCTGTAAAAAATCAATAAAATATATTTTTAAAAAAACAAGAAAAAAATTCTGGCACTATTAGAAGCCATCTGGCTACCTAAAGTAGTGGCATTGGTCCACTCACTGTAAGGAGCACCAGAAAGGTTCCCCAGAAGCAAGAGGGAACCAAGCCACGGCAAAGCGACTCGGTAGGCTGCCCTAAACACCAGTGGGGCCTCTACAGATTTTGGTGACTCTTCCAGGCCCTGACCTGCCCGACTGATTCCGACCTGGAAGGGACCACGCACCATCATTCTGACCGCCCCCACGGCAGGCAAGGTCGATGGGATCCCAATGTGGCTTCCTCACACACAGCTCCAGGCAGCACAGGCAGAATAGACAGTCCAGGACCCTTCGGATCCTCTAGAGATAAAACTTTCACATGTGCCATGTTATTAATTCTTTTTATAGGACTTGGTAAAGGAAACCCCAAAGCTGAGTGGGTTAACAATGTTAACTACCCCCTCCCCCAACAATGACCCACAAGTCAGTGATTTGACTCATTCACATAAAATCAGTGGGGAGTGAGGCATAGTAATCCCTCCTTTGGAAAAACTGCTGTTCTGAAGTTCTCTGCTATTTCTTGCTAGTCCCTTGTTCCATAAATTAACTCTTATTTTTAGATGGTCTCTTATTCGTAAAAACAACTTTGCTTTTTAGCTTAAATAATAGAAAAGATAAACTTAACTGTCTGACCTTGCAAGCTAGCCATCTAATGGGGCTGATACACTAATAGTGATAATAATTCCCATATTCTCATGCCAAGTGTTTGTTCATTGTGTATCCAAGGTTACAGGTATCTGTATAGATATGATAAGACTCAAGGTCTGTAAAGATATGACAGGTGTTTGTTAGATATGATATATACTCAAGGTTACAAGCTGTCTGCAAAAATAACTTACACAAAGACCTAGACGGATATAAAAAGGGAATGCTCCTTCCTGTGGTTGTTCAGAATTTGACAGAGATATTCTGCTCTGAACCTGCACGAAATAAATGACTCCCAATTAACTGGCTTGTTAAGGCGTCTTGTTCCAGCTCGATAACTGACACTACAACATGGGGAGTGCGTGAGGGCAGCCCCGGAAGAGGGAGCCCGAAGAGAGTGTGAAGGGAGCATGTGAGGGCAGAACTGGGTAGGGGAGCCCACAGGAGCCCTTCTCTCCTAGCCCATCGGAATGGGAGAGCCCTCAGGGCTGAGGCAGGAGCCTGGGGGCCCACATCCTGGCCCAGTGCACCCCCCTCATCGTTAGACTCCATCTGGTAAGTCCCACAGTGGCCCCACCCTTACGGGAGGACAGGCCAGGCAGGAACAGCTCACGGTGGCCTTCCGAGGAGGCACCCTAACAGATGGAGGATTGACTGCAGAGAAAAAGATGTAGTGGTCTGTCTAGCCGGCCCTCAGGCAGGTGCTTTGTCCTGTGGGGGTCCCCTCTGCTATCAGGAGCCGTGATCTGAGTCGGTTTGCTGGCAGAAGGTGGAAGTAGAGGGACTTGAAGGGTCATTGGTTTTTCTCATCTCGGTTTTCTGGAGACCTGCTGCCTGCAGCCCTTCTTCGGGCTGATCGGAGGGGATGGTGGAGTCTGCTGAGCCAAGAATAACTGATAGCAGGTATGAGTTTGCAGCAGCTTGGGTGGGTGCCTGAGTCCAGATGGCTGATCAGAGGGGATGGTGGTGTCTGCTGAGCTAAGCTCATCTAGAAGATTCTATGTCAACAGCAGCTCTGGGCCTGCCAAGAATAACTGGGCCCAGAGCTACTGTTGACATAGAATCTTCTAAATGGAGCTTCTGGTGTGAAGGAGACCTGGGCCTGTTTTTCCTGCCAGCTTCTGTGGACACCTGGGGATTTATACAGAAATCCATGCATTTTTATGTCCAGACAGAAGATCTACCTTCTACTAGTATATATGTAACAAGTGTTAGAGCCCTCAGGGATGAGGCAGGAGCCTGGGGTAGGTAGATGATCAAAACCAATGATCATCTACCTACATATCATCTTCCTACCTATCACCTATCTATCTTCTATCTGTCAATCATCTATCTATCATCTATCAATCATCTATCTGTCATCAACCAATCCATCATCTATCTATATAGATTCCAAAAGGTAGGGAAAAGAAGACAGCAGACCAGTGAGGGACCTTGAGACCCAGGAATGACAGGATGTGTGTTTGTACCTCCTGTCTTCCAGAATTGGAGCAGGAGCAGCCATCAACCCAGAAACCCAAGGGGAATACACAGAAAAGCCTCCAGAAAGCCTGCTCTCTTAGCCAAAAGGCCAAACAAATTCTTAGGCAGACACCACAGACCCACCTCCACTGGCAAAGGGTGAGGGGGTCCTGGACTGGACACAGCAGTGTCCTTGCAGGCAATCAGAGAAGGCTGCAGGAGAGAACTTTCACCCACTGTGGAGCCCTCTGGATTGCAGGAGAGTCCTCGTGGGAAACCTGGACTTCTACCAACACTTGGGGCTCCAGTGTATGGGAGACTGGGCCCACACCGGAAAATGGCAGATCACTCCGGTTCATCCAGCAAAAGGACATGAAACAAATGGTCACAGCTGCGCCATCAGCCCCACCAGCCATGCCCCAGCCCTACCCAAGTCACGCTCATAGCCACACCCCAGCCTGGGTTCCAGGCCTGGGTGCCTGCAGCCCACTCTGCCTCAGGGGCATGTTGTGTTAGTAATGACTGTGTTTTGAGAAGCATGAAGCCACATGAAAAGTATAAGGAATATCATGACAAATCCCCATGGACCCACCACCCAGAAATGACAGTTGTTACTCTTTTACTTGCTTTTTTTCCTTTTTTTTTTTTTAATTCTTTATTGATTAAAGTATTATATATGTGTCCTCATCCACCCATTGCTCCCTATCCCCCTTACTCATGCCCTCACCCTATGGTCTGTGTCCATTGGTTGGGCTTATATGCATGCATACAAGTCCTTTGGTTGATATCTTCTCCTTACCCCCAACTCCCTACCTTCCCTGAGGCTTGACAGTCTGATCGATGTTTCTCTGCCTCTGGATCTGTTTTTGTTCATCAGTTTATGCTATTATTTTCCACAAATGAGTGAGATCATGTGATATTTATCTTTCTCTGGCTGGCTTATTTCGCTTAGCGTAATGCTCTCCAGGTCCATCCATGCTGTTGCAAATGGTAAGAGTTCCTTCTTTTTTACTGCAGTGTAGTATTCCATTGTGTAGATGTACCAGTTTTTTAATCCAGTCATCTGCTGATGGGCACTTAGGCTGTTACCAAATCTTAGCTATGGTGAATTGTGCTGCTATGAACATAGGTGTGCACATACCCTTTCTGATTGGTGTTTCTTTGGAAGATAGTCAGAGGGATCACTGGATCAAATGGGAGTTCCATTTTTAGTCCTAGGTTTGATTCCAGTCAGGGGCATGTACCTGGTTGTGGGCACATTCCCAGTGGGTAGTGTTCAGGGAGAAGCTGGTTGATATTTCTCTCTCATTCATGTTTCTAACTCTCTCTCCCTCTCCCTTCCTCTCTGTAAAGCCAATAAAATATATATTTTAAAAAATGGTGTTGGATTTTGTCAAATGCTTTTTCTGCATCAATTGATATGACTATATGATTTTTATCCCTCAATTTGTTTATGTGATGTATCACATTTATTGATTTGCGGATATTCTACCATCCTTGCATCCCCAGGATAAATCCTGCTTGGTCATGTTGTGTGATCTTTTTGATGTACTGCTGGATCCGATTTGCTAGAATTTTGTTGAGGATTTTGGCATCTATGTTCATTAGGGATATCCTATATAATAAAGAGGTAATATGCAAATTGACCATCATTCCAATTCACAAGATGGCCACTCCTATATGGTCAAAGATGGCCACCTTCATATGGACACAAGATGGCCACCACAAGATGGCCAGCAGGGGAGGGCAGTTGTGGGTGATCAGGCCAGATGGGAGGGCGGCTGGGAGGGACCAGGCCTGAAAGGGAGGGCAGTTGGGGGCGACCAGGCCTGTAGTGGAGGGCAGTTGAGGGGGACCAGCCCTGCAGGGGAGGGCAGTGAGGGTAACCATGCCTGCAGGAGAGGGTAGTTGGGGGGGGGGACCCAGGCCTGCAGGGGAGAGCAGTTAGGGGTGACCAGAATGGCAAAAGAGGGGAGTTGGGGGCGACCAGGTTGGCAGGGGAGGACAGTTAGGGGAGACCAGGCTGGCAAGGGAGGTCAGTTAGGGGTGACCCAGCCATGAAGGGCAGACAGTTGGGCAACCAGGCCTGCAGGGGAGGACAGTTGGGGCGGGGGAGGATTAAGCCTAGAAGGGAAGGCAGTTGAGAGCTACCAGGCCTGCAGGGCAGGGGAGCATTTGGGAGCAAGCAGCCCTGGATTTTGAGAGGGATCCCAAATTGGAAAGGGTGCAGTCTGGCTGAGGGACACACTCCCCACGCTGTGCATGAATTTCATGCAGTGGGCCTCTAGTTGGAATATAATTATCTTTCATTGTGTTGTCTTTATCTGGTTTTGTTATTAGGATGATGCTGGCTTCATAGAAGGAGCCTGAAAGTGTTCCTTTCTCTTGAATTTTTTGAAATAGTCTGAAGAGGATAGGCTTTAGTTCTTCCTTGAATGTTTGGTATAACTCCCTTGTGAAGCCATCTGTTCCTGGGCTTTTTGCTGGGAGCTTTTGGATTACTGCCTCACTTTCTTCCATAGTTATCAGCCTATGGAGATCTTTAGAATCTTCTTGAGTTTTGGAAGGTTTTCTTTTTCTAGGAATGTGTCTAGTTTTCCAGGTTGTCTATGGTTTGTTGGAGTGTGTGTGTGTGTGTGTGTGTGTGTGTGTGTATATATATATATATATATATATATATATATATATATATATATAATTTTTTTTTAAACAATCCTTTGTATTTCTATGGGGTCTGTTGTTATTTTGCCTCTTTTGTTTCTGATTTTGTTTAGTTGAGTCCTCTCTCTTTGCTTCTTGGTGAGCCTGGCTAGAGGCTCATTAATCTTGTTTATTCTTTCAAAGAACCAGCTCTTGGTTTCATTGATCTTTTGTATTTTTTTTTTTGTCATTTATTTCTGCTCTGTTCTTTATTATCTCCTTCCTTCTGCTCACTCTGGTTTTTTCTTGTTGCTCTCTTTCTAATTCTTTGAGTTGTAGAATTGTGATTTACTACCATTTAAAAAAATATATGTATTTTTATTGTTTTTTTACAGAGAGGAAGGGAGATAGCTAGAAACGTCAATGAGAGAGAAACATCGACCAGCTGCCTCTTGCACACCTCCTTCCAGGGATGTGCCCACAACCAAGGTACATGCCCTTGACCGGAATCGAACCCGGGACCTTTCAGTCTGCAGAGCAACGCTCTGGTTTCGGCCATTTTTTCTTTTTCCTTTTTGCATTTTGAATTAGGCTTGTAGAGCTATAACCTTCTTTCTCAGGACTGCTTTCATTGTGTCCCTAGATTTTGGATTGTGTTTTTATTGTCATTAGTTTCCAGGATATTTTTAATTTCTTCTTCAATCTCATTGGTAACCCAATCATTACTTAATAGAATGCTATTCAGCTTCCTAGTGTTTGAATTTTTTGGATTGTTTTTATTGTAGTTTATTTCTAATTTTATGCCATTATGGTCTGAGAAGATGCTTGGTATGATTTCAATCTTCTTACATTTGGGGAGACTGCTTTTGACCCAATAGGTGGTCTATATTTGAAAATGTCCCATGCACACTTGAGAAGCATGTATATTATATGGTTTTGGGGTGAAATATTCTGAAAATGTCAATTAGGTCCAGATGATCTAGTGAGTAATTTAGGATTTCTGTTTCTTTGCTGATTTTCTGTCTAGAGGATTTATCCAGTGATGCCAGTGGTGTATTAATGTCCCCTACTATGATTGTATTGTTGTCGATCTCTCCCTCGATATCTTCAAGGAGGTTTTTTTTTTTTTTTTTTTTTTTTTAATGTATTTGGGTGCTCCTGCATTGGGTGCATTCATGTTTATCAGGGTTATATCCTCTTGTTGTATCGATCCCTTTAGTATCATTAAGCGGCCTTCCTTTTGTCAGATATAAGTATTTCCACCCCAGTTTTTTTCATTTCCATTTGCCTGGAAGATATTTTTTCATCTCTTTACTTTCAGTCTGTGTGAGTTCCTTGTTCTGAGGTGGGTCTCTTGTAGACTGCATATATATGGATCATTTAGTCCATTAATATTTATTTATTTATTTATTATTTTTATTTATTTATTTATTTAAAATAAGTTTTTATTGTTCATATTATTACAAATGTTCCTCCCCCCCCCCCATTGCTCTCCTCCACCAGGTTCCCACCCCACCCTCTGCCCTTTCCCCACTCCCCATTGTCCTCATCCATAGGTGCACAGTTTATGTTCAGTCTCTTCCCACGCCCCCCTCTCCCTTTTCCCCAAGAATCGTCAGTTCACTCCCCTTCCATACCTCTGATTCTATTATATTCAACAGTTAATATTGTTAATCAGATTTTTTAAATTTCCTTGGTTTTTAGATTCACTTGTTGATAGTTACATATTTGTTGTTCATAATTTTTATCTTTATTTACTTTCTCTTCCGAAAGAACCCCCTTCAGCAATTCATATAATTCTGGTTTGGGGGTGATGAACTCCTTTAGCTTTTTTTTTTTATTAGTGAAACTCTTTATCTGGCCTTCGATTCTGAGTGATAGCTTTGCTGGATAGATTATCTTTGGCTGTAGGTTCTTACTATTTATCACCTTGAATATTTCTTGCCATTCCCGTCTGGCCTGCATGGTTTCTGTTGAGAAATCAGCTGATCGTATGGGTGCTCCTTTATAGGTAACTACCTGCTTTTCTCTTGCTGCTTTTAATATTCTCTCTTTGTCTTTTGCTCTTGGAATTTTAATTATGTGTCTTGGTGTGGTCCTCTTTGGATTCCTTTTGTTTGGAGTTCTGTGCGCTTCCTGGACTTGTAAGTCTAATTCTTTCACCAGGTGGGGGATGTTTTCTGTCACTATTTCTTTCAGTATGTTTTCTATATCTTGCTCTCTCTCTTCTTCTGGGACCCCCATAATTGTGATGTTGGTTCGCTTGAAGTTGTCCCAGAGGTTTCTTACATTATCTTCAATTTTCTGGATTCTCTTGCCTTCTAGCTTCTGTGGAGGAGTGTCTTCTGGCTCTTTATGTTCCAAATCTTTGACTTGATTCTTGTGATCTTCCCTTCTGTTTTTAGGACTCTGTATAATATTTTTAATTTCAGACAATGTATTCTTTATTTCTTGTTGATCCCTTATCATTTCTTGTTGACTCCTTATTAATTCTAGTTGATCTCTTTTCATATCCTCATAGGTCTTATCGATCTTTTCTAGGAAATTCTTGAAAAACCTTATAAGCGTAGATTTGAACTCTATACCCAGACGCTTTTTGTCCTCCATTTCTTTCGTTTGTGATATATTTCGTTGTCGTATTTCGCAGTTACAGATGGGACGGGATTTCAGGGTGGAGCCTACAGCCTTGGCTTCCATCAGCCCCACCCTATGCGGCTCCTGCGTCTCAGGGTCCTTCAGTACTTGCTGCAAAACGCTTCTGAGAGATAGGTGCCCTCGATTTTCGCCTGCTGCCAAACAGTCTATGCTCTCCCCCAATGAGCCTGGTATTGGGGCTCAGTTCAGTTGGAAGTGGCGTTCAGAGCTTACTGGAGCCCCAGTCTCCTTCCCGTCAGGGAGATCCCGCAGCACAGCCGACCGTCCCTTCTCTGCGTGCAATGTGTGCGCTGCCGGGACCTCCTTTCGCTGCTTCCCTGGTGTTTCGCCTTACAGCCCAGCTCCCTATGGATGAGCCTGGGTCCCCAGGGTCTGGCCTAGAACTGGGGTTCAGAGCAGTCAGAACTGGGGCCCAACACAGTCGGAGTTTTATCTCCTTTTCGCTAGGGAACGCCAGCCAGGCACTTGGCCTCCCTCCTCTCCAGCTCTGTCCTCTCTGCGCGCCGCGTGTCTCCGTACCTTGGGCTTTTACAGCTCCTCCACACTTCCTCTGGTTTTCTCCTTGCTTCTCGTTGTAGAATTTCCAGTCAGTCGACTTTCCTGTAGTTCTGGGTAATGTCCGTTTTATATTTTAGTTGTATTTTATTGAAATTGTTGTGTGCGGCTGCGGCCAGGTGTTCACCTGGGCAGCCATCTTGGATCCTCCTGGTCCATTAATATTTAAATTTATTGTTGAAAGGTACTTGTTTGTAGCCATTTCTATTTTTTGTGCCTGTGTTTCTTTTTACCTTTTAATTTCTTCTTTTTACAGCATTCCCTTTAGAATTGCTAGTTTGGTAGTGATAAACTCCCTTAGCCTTTTTTTTTTGTCTGCGAAGCTCCTGATTTCCCCTTTGATTTTGATTAATAGTCTTGCTGGATAGAGTATTCTTGGATTCAGTCTCTTTTTGCATCACTTTGTATACCTCCTTTCAGTCTCTTCTAGCTTGATGCTTTTCTGTTGAGAAATCATTTGATAATCTGATGGGGGATCCTTTGTAGGTAACGCTCTGACTCTCTCTTGCAGCCTTTAAGATTCTCTCTTTGTCATTAACATTTCCCATTGTAATTATGCCATGTCTTGGTGTGGGTCTTTTAGGATTCATATTTCTTTGGACTCTCTGTACTTATGTAACTTTTTTCTCCCCCATATCACAGAAGTTTTCTGTCATTATTTCTTCAAATAGATTTTCTAATCCTTGTTGCTCTTCTTGTCCTTCTGGCAGCCCTATTATATGTATGTTACTTTGTTTTGTATTGTCTCAAAGTTCCCTTAGTCTCTCCTCCTGCTTTTTAACTTTTTTCTCCAATTGCCATTCATATTGGGCTTGTTTCTATACCTGATCTTTTAACTCACTAATTCAGTTCTCTGCTTCTTCTAGTCTATTGTTGAAACCTTTCATTATGTTTTTTTAATTGTAGCTATATCACTTTTCATTTCTTCCTGATTTTTGCATAGGTTGATTTTCTCGTCTACCTCGTATATGAACAGTAGGACCATTACTCTGAATTATTTTTCTGTCATGTTGCAGGCTTCTGTTTCACTTATTTCCTTTCTTGGTGATTCCTCCTTTTCTTTCCTTTGTGGATTTTTTTGTCGTCTCCCCATTCTGACTATTACCAGAAGGTTGAAATGTTGAGTTGTGGGGGCCTGGGCTGTGTGCAGTGGGAGCTTTGCACTCCCTGCTCGTGTCACAAAAGAGCTCTGACTCCAAGACATGTGGCTGCTGTGTGTTTGTGGGAACCATGCTCACCCAGGATCAGAGTCACAGGCGCTTACTGTGTACCTAGAATCAGGGACCCTGCCTGTGCCATGCTAAAACAGAGACCCCACTGGCATGTGCCAAAAATCAGAGTCCCTTATTGTGTGTCAGAAGTCAGAAATACCCCCCCCCCCCCCCCCCCCCCCCCCCCGTCTGTGCTGGGAAGTAAGAGTCTCTGTTGCTTGGTGTGGTCTTGTGCCGAGAATCAGGGTCCCTGTGTGCGCATGCAGCAGGAATTGGAGTCACTGGCTCTTAGCGTGAATGCACTGGGAATCAGGGATCCCAGGCGTACTCGATGAGAAATGTAGTAGTCTAGTCACTGGTGCTCCTTGCTGCCTCTTGTGTGGAGACTCAGGGTCCCTGACCTGCTCGGGAGACAGAGCTGCAGTCACCGTGTCGGCAGGAGGTCCACTCTTGCCCTGCGGAAAACAGCCTTCTGTGTGCACTTGCCCTGAATCAAAGTCAGGTGGCACTGCTGCCCAGAATGGCGTGGGGTCTGGTCACTTGAGTGTGCACTGCAGGAAACAAACTCCGTGTGTCCTTGCACCCAGGCTCAAATTCAGCACTGCCCTCCTGTGTGTGCACGGGGTTGGTCATGGGAAACAAACTCCCCAAGTTTGCACGTCCAGGTTCAAATTCAGCGCAGCCTCCCTGCTTGGGTGCAGGGTCTGGTGGTGTGAAACAAGCTCCCCGGTTTGCATCCCCAGGCTTGAATTCAGAGCCCCCTCCCCCATGGGTGCGGGATCTGGTTGCAGAAAACAGTCTCCCCAAGGTCACCCACCTAGGCTCACATTCAGCACAGCCTCCCTGCCTGGGCATGGAGTCTGGTCGCGGGGAAACAAACCTCCCCTGTCCACACAGCAAGGCTCAAATCCAGGAAGAGCTGCCACTGCTGTGTGTGGGCAGAGAGTCTGATAGTTCCTATGCCACTATCACAGGGCCGGCAGGGAGGGAGATTGACTTTGTGACTCTCAGAAATCTGTTTGGCTCAGTGGATAGAAGCGTTGGCCTGTGACTCAACGGTCCCAGGTTTGATCCCAGTCAAGGGCATGTACCTTGGTTGCGGGCACATCCCCAGTAGGAGGTGTGCAGGAGGCAGCTGATAGTTATCTCTCTCTCATCAATGTATCTAACTCTCTATCCCTCCCCCTTCCTCTCTGTAAAAAGTCAATTTTATATATAGTTTATATAAATATATATTTTATTGAGTTTTTACAGAGAGGAAGAGAGAGGGATAGAAAGCTAGAAACATCGATGAGAGAGAAACATCAATCAGCTGCCTCCTGCACATCCCCTACTGGGGATGTGCCCGTAACAAGGTACATGCTCTTGACTGGAATCGAACCTGGGACCGCTCAGTCACAGGCTGATGCTCCTTCCACTGAGCTAAATCAGTATCGGCAATAAAAAATATTTTTAAAAAATCTGCAGCCGGGGTGCCTGGGGTCTTGGTGTCCCTGGGTCTGCAGCTGTGGTTGCAGATCTTTTACCTGAGTGGCTGTAGGGTCCCCATTTGCGACTGAGACCAGATTGGGTAGTGGTGGAGCTAGGATCCTAGTCGCGAACAGTTCTGCTCTTCAAGATAGCATGGTTCCTGTGCCGGTGGTGTCCTTGCGGAGTGTCTGCGGTGGCCCTGAAGACCTGCAGGATCCAGCTGTCCCTATTGCACTCACACACACCACATATGTGCACCCACTCCTCCATCGCTCCCTCCCTCTCACACCCTCCCTCCCTTCTTGCTGGTCACCATCTTTTTTTGAGTCTCTGTGCTTGTTTTCTAATTGTAACATGTTCCAAGGCTGAAGTGTCCCCACTCTCTCACCCGAGTCCGCCCTCTCCCTGTTCTCCCCATTCTGAGAAAATCTGTCACCAATTTTGCAGTTCCCTTCCGTTTTGCTTTGTGTTTGATTTCCCGTTTCTGATAGGTAACTCATTCATGCTTCACACTCCAAAGGTACCGAGACAGCCCTCCACTCTCACCGCAGCGCTGCGCAGGAGCGGAGCAGGTGGCTTGGATGGACACCCAGCAATGGCCACGTGGCTGCAGCACCACCAAGTGCCATGTGGGGCGGCTGCGTGTGCTTGGGGGAGTGACAGAAACCCAGCCGCACCTTACCTGAGCTTACCTGAGGCCCATGCTTGCCTCTCTGCTCATGAATCCAGGCTGGACCTGCCCAGGTGGGCAGGCAGCTCCGTAACCCTCAGGCCTGTGGACAGCCCTCCCACCCTCGCACAAGACTCATCCTTCATGGTTCAAGTGGCTGCATGGCCTCCAGCCACCACTCCCGTCCCAGCGATGGTGGGGGAGCAGGGAGGACCACTGCTGTGATTCCCGCAGCTGCAGGCTCCTCCTCCTGCTCTGGGCGGCGAGCCTGAGCAGTCTTACTGGCTGAGCTCCACCGGGGCCAGAGGACTGGGGGAGGAAATGGCGCTGGCCCTGAAGAAATGGCCTGAGGAAGGACATGAGCGGGCCTCTGGCCTCGCCCTGCAGGGCGGCCGGCCTGCCAGCCCGCCAGGAGCAGGGCCCAATAGCCTCCTAAAGACCAGTGAGGGTTCCACCGAGGCCAGTGCCCCAAAGCCCCTCCTTCAGAGCCAGCCCTCCAGCGCCGGCCTGAGGCGGCCCCTCCCAGGCTCGCTGCTCAGGGCCAGGCTGCCTGCATCTCCAGGGCCTGGGCTGGCCTCGAGGTGCTGGAGGGCCAGGCCGCTCCCAGGACCTTGGAGAGGCCTCTCTTGAGAAAAGTGTGTTCCCACAGCCCCAGGTTCATTTCTGACAAATCCCAGGGTCCCATGAGCCACAGGGTAGGGCTGGCGGGTCAGTGCAGATGGGCCCGTCAGAGGGGACCCTGGGTGGGGAGCCCTCGGCAGAGGAGCGGAGGCGGCCATGGCCTTTGGCAGGACCAGGCCTGAGAGCAGCGTGGATGGGCTGAGAGAGGAACGGCCTCCAGCAAATCAGAGCCAGGCCTCCATGGTTGGTGGGGGTTCAGGAGGGGCCTCTGGAAGGGGATGAGGGGGAGGGCCAAGGGAGCTGGGACTCAGCAGTGTGGAGGCACAGACTGCCGCGAGCTGACAGTCCCACTGCCCAGGGCCAAGCTGATGGCGTTACTGACACAGTGGCCGGAGGCGGAGGGCCATCACGGGACAGGAGTGCCCCGGGCCAGGTCCCACCAGAGTTCGGGGGACCCTGACCCACTGGCTCCAACTAGGAGACTATGACATTGAACAAATTAAGGAAAATCAATCCCACTTTGGAGGAAATGGGAACAAAGTCAGGATGTGAGCAGCTTCTTTAACAAGGGCACATCTGGGGGGGCGGGAGGGGGGTCCGGACAGGGCCATGTGAAGTCAGATCCCCTGGCCTGCCGGGAGCCGGGTCCCCCTAAGCCGAGGCTGCTGTGCTGCTGGGAGAAAAGGTGGTGCCACCTGCCTGGCTGGAGGCGGGCAGCGGGAGACAGAGGGAAAGGTGGGGCTTAGGGAGCCCGCGGAGGGCTCTGCGGTGTGGGGGCAGCGAGGGGGTGGGACCGAGTTGGTCCACTGGAGCAGCTGTGAGGAGGGGTCCAGGGGCCAGGGAGGTGCTGAGCAAAGCGCCCCCCACATCCTGAGGTCCCCGAGGCCCGGTTCCTGCCTAGGGGACTGCAGGCTTCTCTCAAGGCTGTGCCACCCCGGAGTCCTGAGCTGGGAGTGTGGGGGCTGTTGCAGGGTGGCGCAGTGAGGACACAGGAAGCGGAGTGCTGGGTGTGGCCAGGGCACCGAGGGGAAGCGGGGCTGGGGGCAGAGCCACAAGGGGAGGGGCCCAGCAGTGGAGGCCTGGGCCCCAGGGGCATCTGAAAACCAACAAGGCCCTGGGCAGGGTCACAGACACAGACACCAGCTCCGCCTCAGGGTTTATTCCATTAGCAACGTTCACTCTGTCCCTCAACAAAAACATTAGATTATGACTTGTCTCCCATCAACTCAGTTTTTGTATGAATAACCAAAGATTTCTTCTCAACATTCATTTTTAAACAAGAAAGCTATAAATAAATAAAGCTTTAAATGCTCCTCGGTCCAAGTCACACACTTCCAGTTCTCGGCCTCAGGCTCAGGCAGGGCCGGGGAGGGCCTGTGTGCGCAGGCGCCGGCACAGGCACGCCGGCAGGAGACCGGGCTGCGGGAGCCGCCAACCGGCAGCCTCTGGGCATCTCTGCCGGTCGGCCTGGGCGTGCAGAGACAGCCCTGCTCTTTAGATGCTTGAGGCAGCTGGGGAGGGCCCGCGTGTCTGTGGGAACGGGAACAGGCCGTGGCCAAAACAGCCCATGTGCAGCCCAGCCTGGCGCAGGCACCCCGGGAGCTCTGGCAGCCGTGCGGACCCGCCTCTGCTGTGTTGTCCTTTGCTCCCCTTTAAGAGCCACTAAGTCACCTGGTGCTGGTCTCCGCATGCCCATGGGTGGCCCTGGGCCGGGCTGGCCCACCATCGCCCATTGGACACAAAGACGGAGGGCCGCGTAGGGGGCCGCAGACTGACCGCTCCCGGGCAGCCACCTCCCCTGACGCCGCGGCGCCCTCGCCCAGAGGCTCCTGGGCAGGCTGCTGCCCTTGCTGGCCCCTGCGGGCGGCCTGCACCCCGCCTGGTGCCTCCTGGAAACAGGGCGCTGGTCCTCCTCAGTGTGGGGCTCACTCAACTCCCCGGAGCCCAGGTTTTGGGCCTCATTCAGGAAGGCACGCTCAGGTGAGACCGGCCGTGCTCAGAACATGGCTTTGCAGTTTGTAGGACCTGCCAGCCTCGGGCGAGGCGGGGGTGGGCAATGCCGGGAGCCCACACTCCCTGTCCTGCCGTCCACGTGGGCCCTCGCTCCGGGCCAGGCAGTCCTCACAAGTACCCCGGGCCAGAGGAGGGCAGGGCAGGGGCCCTCGGCTATGGCTGCCCTGACGGGGGTAGAGGGCAGCCTCCCCACTCCTCACCCTGGATGAGCTCTCCATCCTCCGCTAGGTGATGACACAAAGGGGTGGGACCAGGAGGTGTGTCCAACCTTCTGATCGGAAACAGGAAGCTGGGGGCGGGCCCCAGGGCTGCCGGAGTGTCTAGAGGGGTGGCCTGTTGCTGCCCAGGGGCGAGTGTGGAGTCCCCTCCTAACCCCTCAAAGGCTTGCAGGCCCAAGGAGGCGGCTGGAGGAGCCCTACCGCCAAAGAGAGAGAGAAAAAGAGAGAGAAAGACACACACAGGCAGAGAGAGAGAGAGAGAAAGAGAAAGACACACAGAGAGAGAGAGAGAGAGAGAGAGAAAGACACACACAGAGAGAGAGAGAGAGAGAAAGGGAAACACACACACACACACACACACAGAGAGAGAGAGAGAGAGAGAGAGAGAGAAAGAGAAAGGGAGAGACACACAGACAAACAGAGATGTGCAGTGGGCGGGGCCACTCCCCACATATGGCTCCATGGTCTGTCCCTTGTCTTCAAATCTCCAGCTGCTGCCATGGCCACAGGACTCCGCCCGAGCCCGTGGGTGGCACAGGTGGGCTCCTCAGATCCAGGCCTGGGAACCCGAGAGCACCAGCCCCACTGGCCCCTGCCTGTCCGCCTGTCCGGACGCACCTGCCGGGGAGCGGACCGCGTGTACGAGGCCCGCGCCTACCACCTCTCGATGATGTGGCTCAGGTAGTCCTCGGTGGGCGCGCGGCCCTCCTCGGCCTCGTTGCGCGGCGCCTCGGGGGCGCGGTGCAGCAGGCGCTCCTCGCGGCTGCGCAGCCGCTGCTCGCGGCGCTCCAGCTGCCGCCGGTACTGGTAGCGCTGCTGGAACAGGTCGCGGGCGTAGTCATAGAGCTGCACGTCCAGGTCGTTGAGCTCCTCGATGCGCCGCACGGTGGCGGCGTCCACGTCCACGCCGCCCGCCCGCGTGCTGTTGTACTGCAGGAACGGCCGGATGAACTTGAGGCTGAACGTCCGCTCGAACAGGTACTGCGTCTTGCGCTGGAACTCGGTGAGGCCGAAGAAGGCCATGCCGCGCAGGTTCTTCTTGGCGCTGTCCAGCAGCAGCTGGGCGCGCCGGGCCTCGGGCACGAAGGACAGGTTGTAGCAGCCCACCAGGCTCAGGTCGGCCAGCATACGCACCTGGCGGTTGTTGGCCAGGTTGTAGGGGCAGTCCATGAACTCCTGCAGCGTGCAGCCCGACCAGTCCGTGCCCTCGTAGCAGGGCGGCAGCTCCTCGGGCGTGGGCGTGCGCCCGTCGCACATGTGCAGGGAGGTCTTCCAGGTGGCCCCGCGCTGCACATGCCGCCACTCGCTCAGGTAGCGGGACACGGGGTCGCGCAGCAGCGTGATGTAGTAGAACTTCCTGCAACGAGAGGGCGGTGAGCCGAGCGCACAGCGGTGGGGGCTCCCTGCGGGTCCGGTCTTCCCTCCGATGCGAGCCCGTAGGCTGAGCCCTCAGACGGCATGAGAGCCAGCGCGTCCTGGCCGCCTATGATCACGCGGGGTTGCCTGGCGCCTGGCGCCGGCCAGTCCCCGGGACAGCCTGGTCTCACCTGCTGCGCGGAGCGTTGAGCCGAGCCCACGCACTTAGAACCGGTGGCTTCGAGCGCTCCCGCACAGGTCAGCGCAGCGGGCAGGAGCGTGGCCTCACAGGCGCCCCCACGCACAGGCCCCCGGAGCGGGGTGCACCAGCAGAGCCCAGCCCGGGCCCCAGGGTGAACGACAACCCGTCATTTGTGCTGTTTCCCGAGATCCAGGCCTGTCCTGTCCACAGGGCTGTCCACACGAGGGGAGAAAGGACCAGGGAGGATTGGACCATGTCCCCGTGAAGCATCTGTTTATATAAAACCGCTGCTATTCTGGCTTCTGTAAACGCGTGCTGGCTTAAAGAATAAGGGAAGTAAGACTACTCCCATTCCAGAGAGGCTGTGGACTGTGCCCCAGACAGAGCTGTCAGTGCGGGCGCCAGGCCAGGCCTGGAGATACGGTCTTATGGCCCCTTCCCAGCAAGAGGCCTTCTTTCCCAGAAGGCCCGGGAGTCTCATTCCAAATTTGGGACACAAAAGAGCTAGGCCAGTGGTCGGCAAACTCCTTAGTCAACAGAGCCAAATATCAACAGTGCAACAATTGACATTTCTTTTGAGAGCCGAAAACCGACTTCTGCGCATGGGCCACGAAGTTTCAATCTCACTGAACGTGTGAGCCCGCACGTGGTATTTTGTGGAAGAGCCACACTCAAGGGGCCAAAGAGCCGCATGTGGCTCGTGAGGAGCAGTTTGCCGACCACTGGTCTAGGAAAAGTATAATAGAAAAGGTTTCCTCCATGTGTTGGGGGTCGGGTCCGCCCTCAGTGAGATGTGCCCCTTCTCTGAGCTGGCTGGGTTCCTCCGCCTGTGACCCCGACGACGGGGCACCTCGAGCTAGAGCCAGATGCTCCCAGACCAGCCTGTGCAGCTCCGGGGCCAGCCCCCCGGAGGGAGTAGCGTGTGGCCCAAACCTGAAGCCCCGGCTCCGGTGGAGCCTGCTCAGTGGCTCCTGCCGGCCTTGGCAGAAGAGCAAAAGCCGCCTGCACCCTCGGGTCCCTCCCTGACTCCTGGGCCCTCCCCTCGGCCTCTCTTGGCTCCCAGGGCGTGTCCGCTTCCCTCGCTCCTTCAGTGCTGACCCGGCCCCTCCTCTAGGCCTTAGCCAGACCCCGGGCAGCCTTGCTCAGCAGACACGTCTGCCTTGTGGGCCTGGCACAGCTGTGGCTGCACCCTGATCTCTGAGCTCACCCTCAGGCACGGAGTGGATGGCAGGCTCCTGTGTGCAGTGGATGGTGCCTCCTGGGATGGGACCGAGAAGGAAGGGTGAGGGGTTCCAGGGCAGGGCCTCACCTTCAGCCCCAGGAGAGGACACTTGCCCTGAGGCGAAGCAGCTGCCTGGTGCCCGCGGCCCCAGCCCTGGGGTGGCATGTGGCCAGGCTCCTCCCTGCAGACTCCGGGCTGGTGGCCTCTGGCCAGTGTGAAAGCCTCAGATGGGGCCAACCACGGCATCAATTGACACGGCCAGCATCCCAGAGACCAGTGAGTCCGTGACAAACCGGACCCCACACCGCTTCTATAATAAAGAGGCCGAGACAGGACACGCCAGGCACACGTGTGTTCATGAAGCACACATGCTTGCATGCAGGTTCCCGGGAGGTTCTGTGTCTGCTGCCACGTCCAGCCCTGCCTGCCCAGGACCCACAGGGAGGCCGCCACACAGAGCCCCACCCACCAGGAAGCAGACAACATGGGGCTCTTCCTGGACCCACAAAACCAGGACGTGAGTCCCCAGCTCAGGCCGCACGGCTCCGCCTGGCTCCACAGGTGACCCCGGAGGGCAGGTCCCGGCACACGTGGAGCTCCTGTCCGCTGCAGCCGCAGCCCCCTCCCTGCTGCACGTCTCCCCGGCCACTCCACACCGTCCGGACGCCGCAGCCACACCTGCGCAGGGCGGCGTGGATTCCGACGGAACGTGTCAGCAGTAAACACGACCAACCACGGCCGCTCACACAACTGGGATACATTTGATGGCAAAGAGGTTGCAGGAAAAGAGCAAATTAAGAACATGTAACAGGTGATTCTGGAAGAAACAGAGTGAGCATATGCGACCATGAAGCGAAGGCTGAGTCTCAGAGTCAGAGGCTCAGAGAAAAAAGGACAGGTTAAAACCTAAAAAGAAAGAAAAGAAAGATCCCAGTGCACTCAAAGAAAGCAAAGTCCCCCTCACCCCTCCTGCTCACTCTCACAACCTAACACACAGCGGGGCCACCTGACCACATCCTGGTTGATACCCACTTCATCAACCTTCCCATTTAGCCACACTGGACTCGGGGCGCAGTGCTGGCCGTCTCCCTGCCAGGTGCACCCCTCGTATAACTGACCGTAAGGCTGAAACCGAGAAATGGGCTCTAGGGATCCCTCAGGTCCAAGATTCGAACGGTACCGTGCCCCCCAAAGGAGCCTGTGCAGGAGATGCTTAGTACAGAGCGCTCAGCACGGGTCCTATTGTGGCCACAGGTGGCAGGAGCTTACGCGAAGAATCAGGAAGACCCTGGAGCCCCGGTTCCGATCCTGAAAAGACGGCGTCCTCTGCTGTCCTTCACACAGCTTCCTCCGCGCCTCCCGCTCCCGCACACGGTGCTGTTATGAGCTGAGAAAGTTAAATCACTCACCTTTTGGTGGTGTTTTAAAAATGATACTGATGTTGTTTTGAAAACGATATTTTGTGTCATTTAAAATTTTGTTACATATTTTTATAAATCAGATGACTGCTCACACACCCACAAAAAAGAAAGAAAATGTAACAGGGCCCAATGATACTGCTTATCCAGCTTCCAAAAATAAAAAGCAAAGAAGCCCAAACCGGTTTAGCTCAGTGAATGAAGTGTTGGTCTGCTGACTGAGGGGTCCCAGGTTCGATTCCGGTTGGGGGCATGTGTTGGTTGTGGGCACATCCCCGTGGAGGGTCGGTGAAGGCCGAGGACAGGCACTGCCCTCCGGCCTCACCACAGCACAGCCCACGGCCCTCAGGCACACGCCGGCTCTCATAGGCACGGCCAGGGATCAGCTCCCCGGGCTCTGGCTGAGGCACGGCTCCCGACCTGTGAAATCTTGTCCATTTCACAGAAAATACGGTGGCGGGTCAGGCCAGGGGCGCCCTGCCACGGCCCTCAAAGACAGAGCTCGGGCGTGAAGACCCTCCTGCTGTGAGCCGGCGCCTCGAGCAGCCGTGCTGCTGCTGCACCGCTCAGCCTGCCCTGCCCGGCGACTCAGCGGGGCTTGTTTCTGGGTCTGCGGCCCTGCATCTTTCCAGTTTTATAAAACCCAGTCTGATTACCACCCGACAGACAGAGGTCAGCGCCCCGTGCGCGCGATCGAAGCTGCTGTTCTCACAGGAGGGCAGGCTGCGAGGCCACAGACCCCAGCGACCTGCCTTCCTAGGGGTGCGGGGTCCGGCCTGACCCCACAGCTCACAACACCCTCCTCCCAGGACCCCACAGAAGGGAGGGGCCAATCCTGCTCCTCCCCAGGCAGAGGCGTCAGGCGGGCCAGGGAATGGTGGCCTCTGCAGACGAATCGAAGCCCTCCCTCCGGCACACATCAGAGGCCGCGGTGCCCACTTTCTCCTGAGGCACACAGCTCGGGGCCGGGGGCGGGCCTGACCGATGAGCTGGGAGAGCAGCCCTTGGCCGTGAGCACTGGTCCTGGGGTCTGCGGTCCCTCCCAAGGGCTCCTGTGGTCGGATGGGAGGGGCGAGGCAAGTGCGATGCGGGTTTGGGGCCCAGCAGAAACCACTGAGTGGGGCACCTCGGCTGCACTCTCCCAGCTCCGGGGCACCCAGCTGGTGCTTGCCCACCACTGACAGCCCCAGGCAAGGGGTCTGTGCGAGGGCGGGACAGGCGCCCAGGGCCCGTGTGCTGTCAGCACAGCCGCCCAGGCCGCTCGCCTGCCTCCCGCACAGCACACCCCTGCCCCTCCGATCTGCCAGGGAGGGAAAGAGCCAGAATGGACTCACCGCTGTCTGCACAGGAAAGGGGGGGAGGGGGGGAGGGAGTGGAGGGTAAAGCCGCCAAATTAGTAGCCCCATAACCTTAAGAAACAGTCAGAGGCAGCAGTTAACACTCTTCCTACACGAGCTGTGGGAGGCCTGCAGCCTCATTTCAAACAGTTCTGCAGAAAAGGAAGGCCGGCAGGCGCAAGCACACGTGTGGCCAGACACACATGACGTGCCGAGCGGGCACTGCCACCGCGGCCGAAGGCTAACGTCCGCGCGTCTGGGTTGGGGAGGGTTTTCTGAAGTAAGTTTCCGGGGCAACCCCGGTTAACAGATTTCAAGTGTATGTTTCCATGACAGGAACCGGGTGCCCCGGGTGCCCACAGCCAACGTGAACCCCCTCCGTCCCCTAGAGTTTACGGCTGTCTCAGCGCCTTTGTGGGCGTTCCAACAAGGACAGCGCCGGCTGTTCCACCGGCCGCTCCGGCCACCGGTCACAGGAGGGACAGCCCACGAGGCCACCCCCTCCGGTGGCTGTCACACACACGAGGAGGAGGCTGGGACCCAGCGGGACTCCGAGTCGCAGGCTCGGTCTCAGGGACCCGGGGCCCAGCCACAGAAGAGCCGGACCGCACGCCCGGAGCCAGCCTGGCCGCGGGGAGGGGCCGGTGCCGGGGCCTGGCTGCCGGGTCAGAGACCCCCGGCACTCAGGCCCTGCATGTGCAGACGAGGAAGCAGTGGCCCAGCGCACGGCAGCCTGGACGAAGGGAATTATAGGGACCCGCTGCCCAGAAGCAGGCGGTGCCCTCAGCAGGGTGTGCCAGGCCCTGGAGGAGAGGGAGGGAG